CCCCAAGTGGCTCCTCTCCCGCCACGGGGCCTGGTCCTGCAAAGAACTCAGGGTTTGCCCTCCTGGCTGCCCAGGGCAGGCGGCTTTTGTGACATTCCCTCCGCGTAACACACAGCAGCCTGAGCCTGCTGACAGCCTGGTCCTGGCTCCGTGCATCTCGGGGGGGATGGAGTTGGAGCAAAGGGGAAGAGGTGCATTCAAGGGGGGGGTGCTCAGCCCTTGGCTAGCCAGGGATCAGATTGGGGGGGAGTCAGTCTATCTAGGGCCTGGCACTCAATTGGTGCAAATCGTCCCCTTTGGGGTCACTATAGTTGCACGGATTCACACCCACCTCCGGTGGCACGTGAGTGTGAAGATCGAGGGCGTGTGGGACCGTGCGCTGAGCTGCATTGACGCAGGTTGTGTCCCTGGGCGACTTGGGGGCGCTGCAATGTGCACACGCCACAGTGCATGCGAGGGCACGCACGGGCGCGCGTGCGAAACGGGGGTGCACACGAGTGGGTCACTATAGTTGCACGGATTCACACCCACCTCCGGTGGCACGTGAGTGTGAAGATCGAGGGCGTGTGGGACCGTGCGCTGAGCTGCATTGACGCAGGTTGTGTCCCTGGGCGACTTGGGGGCGCTGCAATGTGCACACGCCACAGTGCATGCGAGGGCACGCACGGGCGCGCGTGCGAAACGGGGGTGCACACGAGTGGCGAGCAGTGGGTGTGCAGGAGGGCTGGGGCCGTGCGCAGGTGCGAGGGTACTGGGCAGCAGAGGGACGGGGCTGTGTGAATTGCGTGTCTGCGAGCACGTGGCTATCGGGCAGGGGATGTCCAGGAGCGGGCGCCCGTGCGGAGGGGGAGGCGGAGGTGACCCTAGCAAACAGGCACCAGCCCTACCACCAGCACTTCTCCGCCGTGTCACCCCCACATCCCAAACCACCCCCACCGCGCGCCCGTTACCATTTCCACTGCCCTGGGGTCCAGCTGGCTGGGGGGCGCCGGGACGGAGAACTGGATCTTCTTGCGGTCCTTGGGATCCATCGCGCCCTCGCTCGCTCGCTCTCCTTCCAGTCCAAGTCTCTCGCTGAAACCTGCCGAGCGCTGCCCCCTCTACCAGCCCGGGTGGACCTTGCTGAGCCCAGCGGCTCTCCCTCTGCTCCTCTCCTGTGCCCTGTCCGCCAGCAGAGTTAGGCAGCTCCTGCGCCCTGCTCCATCCCCGCTGCACAGTGAGTCCCGGAGTAGGGAGGGGAGAGGCAGGGAGAGGAGGAGGAGGGAAAAAAAGGAGGGGGGAGCTAAACTGCTACTGGCTCTGTGGAGTCACAGCCTGAATTATTAATCTCCCTGGGCAGGGGGCAGAGGGTTCGCTTAATGAGCCCTGGCAGGGAGCGAGCTGGGGGGGTGTCAAACAAAACCAGCTGCATCTGGTCTTAACCCTTTCACCGCCCAGGCGGAGCTGCCCTCCCAAAGCAAATGGATAATGTCCAGGGGAGAAAGTACTAGGCTGGGAAGCAGAAGATCTAGGTTTGGTGCCTGGTTCTGCCACTGAGCGGAAAGCAAGTAATTTAGCCACCCCGTGCCTCAGTTTCCTCCAGCTGGACCGCAATGAAAAATGGCAGTTAGTGAAACAGCGTCGGGCACAACAACTTTCCCAGCCTGAAAACAATGTCAAAGAAACCCCCCTCCCCTCCAACTTTCAGGGTTTTCCCAGAATGAACATAATGGGGCACAGGGGCCCCCCAAACTTTCAGTGTTTCAGAACAGTGACAATATCCCACTGACAAATTCATGATTTTCTGGCACGAATCAACTTTTCATTCCTATCTCTAAGCTCATTTGACTGAAAAGACGTTTCAAGGCGAACGGTTGAAATCTAAACCGAACCCTTCCAAAGGATCAGACCGTTTTCAGTTGGGTCCAAAACAAGGAGAAAAATCAGATTGGTTCTTCTGTTGGTGAATTCTTTAAAGATCTCAACTTTGTATCCCGATTTGAGATGGGGGGGCGGGGAGGATGTCATAGAATCATAGAACAGTAGAACTGGAAGGGACCTCGAGAGGTCAAGTCCAGTCCCCTGCCCTCATGGCAGGACCACACTAGATTTAGATCACCCCTGACAGGTGTCTGTCTAACCTGCTCTTAAATATCGCCAGAGATGGAGATTCCACAACCTCCCCTGGCAATTTATTCCAGTCTTTAACCACCCTGATAGTTAAGAAGTTTTTCCTAATGTCCAGCCTAAACCTCCCTTACTGCAGTTTAAGCCCATTGCTTCTTGTCCGGTCCTCAGAGGCCGAGAACAATTTCCCCCCTTCTTCCTGTGATACCCTTTTAGAGACCTGAAAACCGTTATCATGTCCCCTCTCACGTCAAACTCTTTAACCACTTCCCCCGAGCCCTAGATAGGATACATGCCTCATTCTTTGCAAAGCACGGAGACGGAAAGATGAAAATGCTACAGATCTAGGAGCCACTATTGTAAGTTTCGACAGGCAGCTACACTGGATGTGTACCTAAGACTGCTCTTGTCGTGTGTGTGCACAAGACCATGTGCTCTGCGCATGCATGTGCATTGGTTCTGGGCATGTGTCCAGTGTTTGTGTGCACCTGTGTGTGCATTTGGCGGAAAACATTGGCACGATGAGTTATGTTTTGTGTACGTGCATCCAAATGTGCCTTGGTTGCAAGTGTGGGTGTGGTGTCCACGTGAGTGTGTGCAAACTCTGTTTGAATGTGCAACGTGGAAGCCTGCCAGTGTGTGTGTGTGTGCATGTGTGTAGTGCTTGTGGACTGACACACACCTCATTCAAACTAGTCCTCCAGCAAGCACCTGCTAGCCTGGAAGCTGGTGCATTTCAAAGGACCAGGCTAGTAGATGGTAGTGGATGCAAGCACTAGAGAGGGGCAGAGGAGATCTGGCTTCGACACAGACTCTTTGTGTGACCTTAGCAAAGTCACTTATATCCCCCCAGCCTCAGTTCCCCATCTGTAAAACAGGGCTCACACCTGCCTCACACAGGTATCAGGGTGGGAAAAAAAAGCCATGAACGAATATAAAGACCAGCTAAATATCTAATAGAGTTGGTTTTCCTCGGAGGAATTTTGACATTGCCATGTGCCCCAAATCAAAGCAAAAGGTCAAAAGACGGGAACTTATTTTGAAACGAAACATTCTAAAACGTTAACTCAGAAATGTCACCGTTTTCCAGCGCAGGGTCCTCATGATGCAGGGCCGCCACTCAGCGGGGAGACCACAGTGCATCCTGGGAGGTGAAGGCCAGCTAGGGAGGAAGACTGAGGGGGGGAACAGGCATAAGGGAGCTGGAACTACAACTCCCACGAGACACTGCAGCCACTTGGCCGGGCCACAAAGATTATTAGGCAGCCGCTCCCAAACTAACCATTTTGTGTTGACTTTCCCCATGGAAAATTTTCCCAACATTGATCTTGCCCCACAGAGAAACTAGATTTGTTTAACCCACCCCATTTTCAGGGGTGAGGGGGAGGGGAATGTTTCGCTTGAAATGTTTCCATCAGCCCTAGAGTGCTGATAGCTAGAACTCACTGGTAGCAGGTGGTACTGATGCAGCTCCAGCTTCCCCATTAAAACTTTGATTAAAACTTTCCATCACTACTCATCAAACCCCGCCAGGGAGACTTGGAGTTATTTAAGATCCTTGCATGTGGAGTCTTTAACATCCTGGCGGGAGGCTTTTCTAAAAGATTGGCTCCCGTTCTGCTGTGGAACTTACGTGGCGAGGGAGACTCATTCTCTTCACCGTGAGAATGACTGAGTGGGCGTCTGGCCGGCGTTGTGCAGCAGGTCAGACTCGGTGGTCATGGGGTTCGTTCTGGCCTTCGCACTCTCTCTCTCAAATGCCCGTCTTAAAACCTCAGGATCCCCAGTAGTGCTCCCGGTAAGCTGGCCGCTAGTGAAGCCGCTTGGGAGAGATGTCAATGCAGCCCAGCTGATTAACAGAGCACCCACAGCTGGGTGTGTGTTTATGCAGGTGGTGCACATCCGCACATGCCTCAGTGTGTTTAAAATTTATTCTGCACATGGATGGAAAAGATTAGAGGAAACATCGGTGCCCAGCCGGTGTAAATCAGCGCGACTCTACTGAGGTTGTTGATTGCCACCAGCCAAGGACCTGGCCCGAGAACCATGCCTGAGCCACAATAAATAGGCTGTTCTCGCCACCACAGGGTACGACCAAGAAGGGGGCGTCTACAGCCCCAGGAAATAGGGAAGGGAGGGGCCTTGGACACCAACCCGCTGATTTCAGGAGCTGCCAATGGCAGAGGGGAAGCGGAGAACGAGGGCCTGACTGCCTGGATCAGCAGCACCTAAGGGGGCATGCGCAGGTCATTCTGCAACGCTCTGGCTCTGCCGAGCAAGCAGCTCGGCCCACGTGCTCTGCTAACCCCTGCCTGGCCCGTTTCTCACCATCCTGCTCCTTTAGCCGGATCAAGAGCCCTTGGGGACAGAAGGCAAACCCCAGAGCTGGTCGCATTCAAGGGTACCACCCCACCTGCTTGCAGGGTGCTGCCGGTAACGATCCGCAAAGCTACATCCTCCTCCACACTTCCCCAGAGACTCACTGCGCTGTTCTGAGCTGAGACACGGCCTCCCGCGCTGACCAGTCCTGTCTCCTTGTGTAAGGCCAAGAGGCAGAACTGAACCGGGGACCTCTGGGAGCTTAGCGCAGGAGCCTCTCCAGCTGGAAGCGAAGGCTGCAGAGCAAACTCATTCTCCCTCCAAGTGCCACAACACGAGCGAGTGAACCCCACCCACTAGGCGTGTGTATAACACTTGCACTCCCCCATGGGCCTCTTGGCCTCCATCTTGCTTTGGGGCAGAAACGATCTTTCTTGTTCAGTGTTTGTACAGCACCAAGCACCCTCCAATCCTGACCTACCACTGCAGCGCCCAGGGGACACAGGGATAGAAATAAGCAGCAATGAGAGAACTCATTTGCCTGAAGCATTCCAACACGACTGGCACTACCTGCTGAGTGTTCTATCCACGCCCGGGGGACTTTAGCACCAGCATTGCTTTTTCACACAAAAAAAGGGTCTTTTTTGGTAAAAACCTCCCAGAAACAGCTGATGAAAATTCTGGCTTTCATTGACTATTTGCAAGTTTTCCTCAGCAAACACCCATCATTTCCCATTTCTCCTGTGTCAAAAACCGTCCCTTTTGGGCTTTGGACTGGGGGGGAGGGAAGGGAGGGAATCTTTTTGTGATTTGTTTCAGGCAAAAGCTGAAAAGTTCTGTGAAAAGTGTCACGATTTTTTTCCCCCGATGGGAAATAAAAATCCCTTTTCCAGTCAGCCCTTGAGCACAAGATTCACCAGCAACGCATCGCTTCTAAAAACGGACACCGTGGTGAGGCCCGGGAGTTCGTGACGCTGGTTTTAATAATATCTGGCTCTCAGAGAATGCTTTTCAGCAGGCATCCTCCTCACAACACGCCTCTGAGCTAGAGCAGGTGGGAAACTGAGGCACGGAGACTATAAGTGACTTGACCAAGATCACCCGGGAAGTGTAAGGCAGAGCAGGGACTCAAACCGGTCTCTGGCGAGCACCCACACCACTGCACAATCCCGTCTCGGCTCACTTCGCCCATTGAGCTCTGAGCCCCGCCTGTTCCGTACGGTTTGTCGTGGCCGGTCTTTGCTAGGACATAAGGTGTGGTTTTGTCACACGGTAGCTAATTAGCAGGTGGCATTGTTCTAGTGTAGATAAGCGAGCCGTGGCGTTAACACCTGTGAGCACGTCACTGCAGGAGCTTTTCGTCTCAGCTAGAGTTTGCCACTCGGTTGTGCCTTTCCTGTGTCAATACTTGGTTGGAGTCCGTTTGGATCACCGCAAAAGCCCGAGTTAGTGGCTTGCAGGGATTTCAGAAGGTAGAACTCCCACCAGCTAAACCCCCCCCCCGCACCTGCCACCCCCAGGCCTGCCTGTGCTCTCACCACTGGACCATGCTACCTCCCCCAGAGCCGCTGAGAACAAGAAGGGCCCGATGCTGGGGAAACCGATC